TCTCCAATTAGAAAGGATCAGGCAGGAGGGGATGGGAAAGACCTCTGCTTGAGACCCTGGAGAGCCATGAAGGGGGGCTGTGGCTCAGTGGAAGAGCCTCTGCTTGGCAGGCAGAAGGTCCCAGGTTCGATCCCCGGCATCTCCAGTTAAAAGGACCAGGCAGCAGGTGATGGGAAAGACCTCCGCCTGAGACCCTGGAGAGCCATGAAGGGGGGCTGTGGCTCAGTGGAAGAGCCTCTGCTTGGCAGGCAGAAGGTCCCAGGTTCAATCCCCGGCATCTCCAGTTAAAAAGGACCAGGCAGGAGGTGATGGGAAAGACCTCTGCCTGAGACCCTGGAGAGCCGCTGTCAGTCTGAGTGGACAATACTTGATGGACCAAAAGGTCTGATTTGGTATAAGGCAGTTTCAAATATGTTCAGTGCATCCCAGACACAAACCCACAGTCAATCCAGTGCTGTCTCACAGGTCGTATTATGTGTGTGTGTGTGTTAAGTGTCGTTGTTTCCGGCCTAATGAATTAATGACCTTTAAAATGTCCTCCTGTTCATAGCTTTGCTCAGATCTTGCAGGCCGAGGGCTCTGGCTTCTTTGACAGGGTCGATCCATCTCATGCTGGGCCTTCCTCTCTTCCTGCCGCCTTCAACTTTTCCTAGCATTATTCTCTTTTCCAGTGAGCAGCTCATAATACCCATTACTTTCTTTTTTGGAGTTTCAACAATTTTAATTAGCAGCTGGCAGGGGTCATTTTGTAGAAGAAGAGGTGCAAGAGCTCATTAGCATAACTTATCAGCGTAACTTATTTGCATATGCCACACTCCCTGACATCACCGGAAGTGTGTCAGAAGGCAACGCCCACTGCTCAGAAAGGCTCCAATGGACTGTTCTGGATTGCTAGCTATTGGGGGGGGGGACGTGCAGATCTGTTCTCACAGAGGAGGGAGAGCTTGTACCTGAATAAAACTTGGTCTTAAAGGTGCCACTGGACTGTTTTCGGCCGGGGGGGCTCTGCAACTTACCTGGCTGCTTCTTGCTCTGACTGAGGGCTGCTGGGAGCAGGGGGTGGGGCTTGTTGCGTGTGCCCGCCCCCTGGGCTCTTTACTGCCGGAGCTCCGCTCCTGTGCGCTCCTGCAGGAAATGACCCCGCCAGCTGGAATTTTTAAAAAAACACACTGAGCCATGGTCTCTTTTCATCTATTTTTCTTGTTTTTTACATTTTAATGTTTTTCCTCTTTTTTTTAAACCAACAACAATTTTCAGAACTGTACAAGAAATTGTTCGTCACGGACTAAGACAATAATAAATATTTAGAGCTGTCTGAAAAAAAAGTAACCTGTGTGGACGTGTTTCTCATCTACAGCAAAAGGAATATTTTCTTTCTCGTTTCAATTTTTTTTTTCACGACTAGCAAAACTAGGACTAAGAAATCTCTAAGAGTGTTTACAAAAGAGACACCGTATTTCTTTTTAAATTTAAAAGCTGAGTTCTGTAATGCGTCGGGGGGGAATTAATCATATTCTTTACAGATATTTGTCAAATTCGTCTTCTGTTCTGATAAAATCCTGGTTTCAAAGGAAACTTTAACTAGAAAATGTTAGATCTCACCCCCCCTTTCCCCTTTCCCAGGGTTGCCAGACCCCCCGGTAAAGGTGGGGATCCCCTGCCCCCTGCAACTGCCCCCCCCAGCTGCTGATCAGCTGAACGGTGGAGAGACTTACTTAGAGAAAGAGGAAAGCCCAGGGCACGGTGCCAGTGGTGCACAGGAAGTGACATCATAATGACAGCGACAACCGAGTGCAATTCTGGCATTTGAGCAAAAACTCTCAGGTAGAAACCATTTTTATCATAGAGTTTTTCCCAAACACCAGAGCGTTGTGGTGATGTCACTGTGTGATGACGTCACTTCCTGTGCGACGCCGGTGATGTGGCCTGGGCCTTCCTCTTTCTCCTGGTAAGTCCCCCCTCCCCCTCCAGTTGGCATGAGGGACCTGACAACCCTACCATTCTTCCCCCTAAATAAAACTTATCCAGACGTAACCGGCAAACAGACAAACAAAACAAAATTAGATTCCATAACCTTCTCTGCATGGATCCAAGCAGGATAACAAATTCTCAATCATGTGGATTTTAAAAAATATACATAAACAATTAGTGTGTCGGCAGTCAGAGGTGCTGAATCCAGTATGGTTGCCAACTGACCAGGGGGAAATTCTCTGCCTTAAACAATAACTTATATTTTACGTTATTTATTGTCTGCCTTCCTCACAGCGACTTGAGGCGGATTACGCAGAGAGAGTCCGCACAATCGACAAAACGGGACATGCAATAAACAGTGTGTTAGGATAGGAGAAGTCTGGAACCGGCCAGAAAGAACTTGGTCTGCACACTACTCTGGATCCGACAAAGGGCACTCTGATTCGAGAAAGCTTTTCTTTTCTTGTGGTGGCGGCTACAAGCATGGACGGCTTCAAAAGGGAATTAGATAAGCATATGAGCAGAGGTCCATCAGTGGCTATTAGCCACAAGGTATAGATAGGGACCCTGGGGCAAGTGATGCTCTGGTTTCTTGGGGATGGGGGGGGTCAACAGTGGGAGGGCTTCTAATGTCCTGGCCCCACTGGTGGACCTCCTGATGGCACTGGTATTTCTGGCCACTGTGTGATACAGAGTGTTGGACTGGATGGGCCTTTGGCCTGATCCAACATTGGCATCCCTTATGTGCTTATGGCTATCAGGTCACACCTGAGTTGGCGACCCTGTGGGGTTTCAAGGAAAGAGACATTCAGAGGTGGTTTGCCATTGCCTGCCTCTGCATAAGCGACCCAGGACTTCCGTGATGGACTCCCATCCAAGGACTAACTGGGGCTGACCCTACTTAGCTTCCAAGATTTGACAAGATCAGGCTGTCCTGGCTCACTCTTGTCAGGGTAAGAGATATTCAGAGGTGGTTTGCCATTGTCTGTGTTGTGGGTCAGCCAGGGCTCAGCGATAGCGAGGACTCCTCAGGAGCAGAAGACTCCTCAGGAGAAGAGGCGCCCCATGTAGCCAGCCTTGAATTAACAAAAGTTGACCAGCAAGAGACTGAGCTGCAGGCTTGTCAGGATTCTCAAAGCCACCAACACCCTCCAGCCCTGATTCAGCAGGTGAACCTCAGTTGCCCGTTCCCAACCCAACAGTATCTCCTACACCCTTAGAGCACCGCAGACATAGGCTGAGAACAAGACTACAGGCAAGAAGGCAAAGTGCACGCCTCCTGGCCTGGCGCCAGCTCCTTGCTGATGACAAAGATGAGTGGTTGCAGGATAACTTCTGAGCAGCTGGCTGCAAGCATGACCCTTAGGCCTGGGGCTACAAAAACCAGCCAAGAGAGACTGTTAGGCATGGAAACAATGGATAGGATACATGCTCAGCCACCAACTCTGCCTTGTCTAACTCTTGGAAGCCTGACCTTGGAGTGAACGACCATCCGTCGTCTGACTTCTGGAACCCTGACTTCGGACTGCACAACCCCGCCCTGCCTGACTTCTGAAACTTGGTACTCAGAGCCTACAAGCCAATACAGTCTGTCTCTGCATAGCAACCCAAACTTCCTTGGTTGTCTCCCATCCAAGGACTAACTAGGGCCCACTCTGTTTAGCTTCCGAGGTCTGACAAGACTGGGCTAACCTGGAAACTTATACCCTGGAAATCTTGTTGTTTTTTTAAGCTGTTCCTGGACTTGAATCTTTTACACCTCAAAGGTGAAGCTTTCTCAGAACACAGAGGAAAAAAAAGATTGTCGTCTGCTACTTTCACACTGTTAAATGGGGGTGGGGGTGTCACCTGTTTTGTGGAACAACTGATGCTACACTCATTTTTTTTCATTAGTCCAAACTGCTACCCGAAATGGGGTCATGTTCCCCTCCCCGTCTACCCATAGTTGTTTTTCTTGAAAAAGACCATCTAAGTAAGAAGGATTTAGAACACAGAGACCCACTGTGGAGTTTGAAAATAATACACGCAGTGTCAGAACAAGACACTGCAGGGCCAGAAGCAGAAAATCAAAATGGACCCTCCTCCTGCTAATTCTAGGCTTGCCAACCTCCAGGTGGTGACTGGAGATCCCCTAGGATTACGACAGAGATCAGTTCACATTGAGAAAATGGCCACTTGGGAAAGTGGATTCTATGGCATTGCGCCCCGTCGAAGTCCCTCCCTTCCCCAAGCCCCGCCCTCCTCAGGCTCCACTCCCGAAATCTCCAGGTATTTCCCAACCCGGAGCTGACAACCCTAGCGAATTCACTCCTCGGCACTACCTCTTAAAAAGACAATATCTGGAAAGAACACTGACGATGGAAAAAGTCTCGTCCAAATGGCTCGACGGACTGACACTTCCGGCTCTGCAGACCCAGGAGAGACAGCGACACAAAGAGAAAACAGGAGGGGACCTCGGAGATAACACCGTCTAGCAGCTTCGTCTGCTGCAGTTTGCCGTTCCCGAAAACGTGCTGAGCGAAAATTCCATCCTTTAACAGGGTGGGCTTTGATATTGCTTTTGTAAAGCGCAGCTCGGAACTCAGATCTCCCCCAGGCCAAGAGTTCGAACTTCAGCCCAGTCGGTGGAGAGAGGCGGTCAGCTATCGGTCACCGAGTTCAAGCCAAGTTATCTGAAGGAGTTGCGTGTCCCGGCATCTGAAGCCCGAGGCTGTTCGTGAGTTCCTAATGTCCGCACAGATCCACGTTTCCCCACCCATTGCCAGAAGAGAGTTTCCAAAATCAGTGGAGAGAGATCAAGCGGTGCCCTATTCTGCGTTAAACGGCCGAGTCCTAAACCCTTGGTGCTGCTACGGAGGGCGTGGAGATGCCTCCGCTTTATGGAAGAGTCCAGGAAATCGAGAGGAGGAGGAGGAGAAGTAAGCTGGGTGGGTCTCCCCCCGAGGGGCGGACAGAGGAAGCTGTCCCGAGATGCTACGCGGCAGAAGGAGGAGTTTCTTTGAAGGGAAGCGAGTGGAGCGGAGCGCCCTTCACAAGACCTGGAATTTCCACGAGCTCTGGTCTTTGTAATCCAAGCAGTCGGTGGCGTTGAAGTTGAGCTTCCACGAGGCGGCTTGGTCCTTGTAGTCTAGGCAATCCACGGAGCCGAAGCCCAGCCCGGCCGTGCCGTAGCCCTGACTGGACAGGGAGGCCGGTGACTGGCTCAGGTGGCCACCCATGGTCGGGGTAGCGATGGGGCTCAGCGCGGCTCCGGGGGCAGACAGCTGCGGGTGCATGGGGGACAGGTAGGAGCTGCAGTCGAGGCCGCTGAAGTAGGAGGTGGATCCGGCGTAGGTCTGGGTGTAACCGGGGGCCTGGGTGTAGGTCATGGGGTAGGCGGTGGACCTCTGCATGCAGGGGGTAGTGGAGGCAGACAGGGGGTCCGGGATGGGGGAGATGGAGGCGGGGCTCCAGATGGAGACGGTGGCGCTGGCGCTCGAGCTGGGCGTCACGGACGTGCCGGTCGGCGGGGGGCTGTACTGCCCGTTGGTGCTGGTCTCCGAGCTGGTCTCCCGGGCGGGAGAGGTCTTCTTCTTCGCCGGGCGGGCTTTGGCCTGGCCCGTGCTCTGCTGCTGCTGCTGGCGGCACTTGGCCCGGCGGTTCTTGAACCAGACCTGCGAGGAGGGTAGAGCGGAGTCAGAGGTAGGTGAGAAACGCCCGGGGGGGCGGGACCGAAAAGGAGGGGCTGGGTTTCTGTGGGGACCCGTTTTCATGGGACGCTGCTGGAATCAAAACGGCCGCGAAGGATGGGGACGGGCCTACCTTACTTTTTTACTTTTTTAGGCTGGGGCGGCCGAGAGGTTCAGAACTGGCGGGAAGGGGGATAGATACACTGCAAGCTTGCAGAGGGCCAGCCCTGCTGAGGAGACCGATGGAGGTGGGTTGCCCGTTGCCTGCCTCTGCGTAGCAACCCTGGACTTCTTCAGTGGTCTCCCACTCGAGTCCTAACCAGGGACGACCCTTCTTAGCTTCCAAGCTCTGATGAGATCAGGCCAACCTGGGCCATCCGGGTCAGGAAAGAGACAAACAGGGGTAGATTGGCCAGGGTTGCTACGCAGAGGCAAGCAATGGCAAACCACCACTGTTCGCCTCTGCCCTGGCTTAGATAGCCCAGGCTGGCCCAATATTGTCAGACCTCAGAAGCTAAGCCCTGGTTCGGACTTGGATGAGAGATCACCGGTGAAGTCAAGGCAGGCAATGGCAAAGCACTTCTTGGTTTGGTGTACTGGTGAAGTGCACGGACTCTAATCTGGGAGAACAGGGTTTGATTCCCCACTCCTCCACTTGCACCTGGCTGGATGACCTTGGGCAAGCCGTAGTTCTGATAAGAGCTGTCCGTGAAAAAGAGCAGAGAGCCAGTTTGAGTGTAGTGGTTAAGTGCGCGGACTCTAATCTGGGAGAACCGGGTTCGATTCCCCACTCCTCCACTTGCACCTGCTGGATGACCTTGGGCAAGCCATAGTTCTGTCAGAGCTGTCCTTGAAAAAGAGCAGTTTGTGTCAGAGTTCTCTCAGCCCCACCTACCTCACAGGGTGTCTGTTGTGGGGAGGGGAAGGGAAAGGAGTTTGTCAGCCGCTCTGAGACTCTTCTTCTTCTTCTTCTTGACCTGGATATCCGCTGGCCTGGATGGGAGGCCTTTCAGGCACTCCCTGACAAGAGCCTCCACACTTGCTTGCGTCCTCTGTTTGGCTTACAGCACACTCGGGCAGCGTCACAGGGAAAGATGGCAGCCGAGATGGCGGAGAAAAGGGGCAGGGCCATTTGCGATGGGAAAGGAGCCTCGGAGCGGCTGACAATCTCCTTTCCCTTCCCCAACCCCACAGCAGACACCTTGTGAGGTTGGCGGGCCTGAGAGAGCTCTTGTGAGGACTGCTCTTGAGAGGACAACCTTGAAATAACTTGTGACTGACCCAAAGTCACACCAGCAGCTGCATGCGGAGGAGTGGGGGAATCATTTGTGACGGGGAGGGCAGTCGAGGGCAAGAACCGGAGCCTTTCTGCGAGCTCAGTGCTTTCAGCGCATGCTGGGTATTAATTAATTAATTAGTTGTCTTATTTATTCAGTTTCTAGCCCGCTCTCCCTGCACAGAGCAGGGCACGACAAATCTAAACATAACAATCAATTAGCATAAATAGAGCATAAAAACATAGTACATCGTTAAAACCTACAGCATCGAATACTGAATTAACTAACAATAGATGGCGAGCGATGACACAATTGTGACCTGTCCTGAGCCCGCTTGTGGGGGGCGGGATATAAATCACACAAATAATTAAGGGGGCCCAACCAGTGTTCCCTCTAAGCTGAGTGAGTGTGAGCCAGCTCACAGTTTTTAGCCTCCGGCTCACACGTTTTTGTCTCAGCTCAGGGAGGAGGGCTCCAGAACAAACTGATTTATACAGCAGCCAAATCACCTGCTCACAACTTTGATGCCAGTAGCTCACCAAGTAGAAGTTTTGCTCACAAGACTCCACAGCTTAGAGGGAGCATTTTCATATTAAATTATATTTATGGCCACTTTGGAGGGTTGCCTCCAGAACTGAACGCAGTAGTCCAAGTGCAGCCTCACCAATGACGGAGGAGGAGAACAGATTGGATTTATACCCCGCCCTTCACTACCCAAAGGAGTCTCAGAGCGGCTTACAATCTCCTTTCCCTTCCCAACCCCACAACAGACACCTTGTGAGGTAGGTGGGCCTGAGAGAGCTCTTGTGAGGACTGCTCTTCAGAGAACAACCTTGAAATAACTTGTGACTGACCCAAAGTCACACCAGCAGCTGCATGTGGAGGAGTGGGGAATCGAACCCCGTTCTCCCAGAGGTATACAGCTGGACTATGAAATGTTGCAATTTGGATATTATTATTATTTTTTCAATTACGATTTTATTCCTATGAGAGACAGGCGGAGTATAAAATCTTTCAAATCTATAAATGCTGAATAAATCAGGAGACTGTTGGCGGGAAAGCAAAACATGCCCTTCAAATGTACTGTAGATTTTTCTCTTTTTTCCTAATTTTATTCGAAATACAGCAGCAAAGACATTTCACAGAGACGTAATATAAAATTCTAACAACCAGAAATCTAAAATTATTTTTAAAAATTCTTATAAATAACTCTAGGAGGGATTATATCTTTTTCTGAGAGGTGTTGCAAAATTGGGTACCAGACAGAGGAAAATTTGGTACAATAGTTAGCTAATGCTAATGCAATTTGGATAGCATGCCTCTGTTGATACACCCCAAGACCGCATCAGCCTTTTTATCAATGATATAGCGGTATGCCAGCGCACGGCCCTTCACCCCCCCACACACGTACCTGCACCCTGGACTCCGGCAGATTGATTTTCAGCGCCACCTCTTCGCGCATGAAGATGTCGGGGTAGCGGGTCTTGGCGAAGAGCGCCTCCAAGATATCCAGCTGAGCTCGGGTGAACGTGGTACGCTCCCGCCTCTGTTTCCGGGGAGTAGCTGCATAAAAAAGGGGGAGGGAGAGGAGTTCATCGGGAAGAAGGCAAGAGAGCGCACATCCCGTAATGCAACCACAGCCAAAGTCCCAGGCCTCAAACTGGGTGCGATGTGGGTTCAGACACTCCCGCGCAAAACAGAGAGTTAAATCTTGACTTCAGCCACGGCCAGCATCAGCATGGGGGGGGGGGGGCAGTGGGAGGACCTGTGAGCAGGCCGAGGAGAGATGAGCAGTACGGCTGCCAGGCACACACACACCCCCGGTGGAAGTGGGGGTATGCTGCCACCAGTGTTCCCTCTAAGCTGAGTTAGTGTGAGTTAGCTCACAGTTTTTTAGCCTCTGGCTCACACATCTTTGTCTTCGCTCAGGAAGGAGGGCTCCAGAGCAAACAAATTTATGCAGCAGCCAAAGCTCTTGCTCACAACTTTAATGCCAGTAGCTCACAAAGTAGAATTTTTGCTCACAAGACTCCACAGCTTAGAGGGAACATTGGCTGCCACCAGGCCCCACCACCTCACCGCCGATCAGCTGGTCGGCGGGGGGGAACTTACCCTGGAAAAGAGGGAGATCCAGCTGATGTGCAGCGACGTGTCTACGTCACTGCCCACGTGACCCGGAAGTGACATCGTCGTAGCACTCTGGTATTTCTTTTGCCCAAATCCCAGAGTGTCGCCTGACATCACCGCGTGATGACATCCCTTCTGGGTCACATGGGCAGTGGTGTAGGTGCACTGCTGCACAGTCAAGAAGAAGAAGAGGAGGAGGAGGAGGAGATTGGATTTATACCCTGCCCTTCACTGCCTGGAGGAGTCTCAGAGCGGCTTACAACCTCTTTTCCCCTCCCCTCCCCACAACAGACACCCAGTGAGGTAGGTGAGGCCGAGAGAGCTCTTTCGAGGACTGCTCTTGAGAGAACAGCTCTGAGAGAACTTGCAACTGACAGACGAGGAGGAGGAGGAGACTGGATTCATACCCCACCCTTCACTACCTGAAAGAGTCTCAGAGTGGCTTACAATCACCTTTCCCTTCCCCTCCCCACAACGGACACCCCGTGAGGCAGGCGGGGCCGAGAGAGCTCTTTCGAGGACTGCCCTTGAGAGAACAGCTCTGAGAGAACTTGCGACTGACCCAAAGTCACACCAGCAGCTCCGTGTGGAGGAGTGGGGAATCAAACCCGACTCTCCCAGTTTAGAGTCCACACTCTTAACCATGACACCAAACTGGCTCTCAAGTAGTGAGACAAATTGGGTGAGTGGGCAGGGAGGGGGTCCTTGGGGACTCTCTGCCCGGGGCCTCCCGCAATTGGGAACCAGCCCTGGCTTCCACCCTTTTGGGGAAGGGCACCCGTCTGGTTCCACACTGTCAGCCTATGCGAGAGAGCCCCCTAAAACGAACCCCGCGTTCCCTCGCGGCTGGAAAGTCTAGAAGCGGATTAGCAAGGCATTTCCAGGAGTTTCAGAGAGCGGCTATGTCGGTCTGCAGTAGCAGACCTGGGTTCGAGTCCCTAGCATCTTAGAGACCAGTGAGATTTTCAGAGTATGAGCTTTTGAGAGGCAAAGCTACCTGCCTCGGATCTACCAGGGCTGCCGTTACTGAGATTAGAAAAGAGACAAGAGTCCAGCGGGAACTTAAAGACTAACCAAATTGGTGGCAGGGAAGGAGCTTCCGGGAGTCACTGCTCACTTCTTCAGATACTAAGATTAACCTGGAAAAATTCTGAAGGCCCCCAGTTTGAAAACCGGACCCCTTCTGTTGCCATCAGCCGGTAAAGACTTTTTGTGTGTTTGTTTCATTTGGCGTACCCCTCAGTGATCCCCCCCCCCCTTCCTGCCCAGTTGTGGCTTTTACCAGGGGTCGTTTAGTAGAAAAAGAGATGCAGGAGCTCATTAGCATTAGCAAAGCTTATTTGCATATGCCACCCCCCCTGACATCACCGGAAGTGTGTCAGAAGGCAACACCCACCGCTCAAGCTCCACTGGACTGGTTTGGATTGCTAGCTACTGGGGGGGGGGGACGTGCAGATCTGTCCTCAGGGAGGAGGGAGAGCTTGTACCTGAATAAAACGTGGTCTTAAAGGTGCCACTGGACTGTTTTGGGTCAGGGGGCCGGGGTGGAGCTCTGCAACTTACCTGGCTGCTTCTTGCTCTGACTGAGGGCTGCTGGGAGCAGGGGGTGGGGCTTGTTATATGTGCCCGCCCCCTGGGCTCTTTACTGCCGGAGCTCCGCTCCTGTAGGAAATGACCCCTGGCTTTTATGTTTTTGTCTGTATTAAACTCTGGTTTAATTGTTTTAATGCTGTGTTGGTTGGGTTTTTAAAAAACGTGGTTCTTACTATGTATTTTTATTGTTTTTGTTTTTTATTATTATGTATTTTTTATTATATATTACTATCCATGCTGTATTTTATCTATGCCGATAAAAGTTGACTGACTGACTATATATTACTATCGCAGGGCTCTTTTTATAGCAGGAACTCCTTTGCATATTAGGCGACACACCCCTAACTTAGCCAATCCTCCAAGAGCTTACAGAGCTCTTCTTACAGGGGCTACTGTAAGCTCTTGGAGGATTGGCTACATTAGGGGTATGCCGCCTAATATGCAAAGGAGTTCCTGCTGCAAAAAGAGCCTTGATTACTATGAATGAGGACCAGCGTGATGTAGTGGTTAAAGCGTCGGGCTAGGTATCTGGGAGAGCCAGGTTCGAATCCTGGCTATGCTATGGAATCTTGCCGGACCAGTCAGCCTAACCTACCTCACAGGGTTGTTGTGAGGACAGAATGGAGGAGAGGCGAACGATGTCAGCCTATTTGGGTCCCCCAACGGGTTTTATGGTACAGGGTACCAATTAGTGTAAGCCGCCCTGAGCCTGCTTGCGGGGAGGGCGAGGTATAAATTAAAATAATAAATAAATAAATATAAATAAATACGTAAGTTTAAAATAAGTTATGTCTGTTTCGTTTGCTAACTTCCAGAGAGGTTCCACCAGCAGTGCTGAGGTGGAAAGTGTGAAGGGCAGAGTTGGTCCCCAAGGGCTCAGGAACAAGCCCTGAAGAGCCACAATGGGTCACCACTCCCCAGCACACGGCCAATACGTGCTTAGCGAAACATCTCTCCCCTTTGCACTTTTATGAGTTTACACCAAGACTGCCAGATCCAGGTTGGGGAACTCCTGGAGATTTGGGGATGGAGACTGGGGGAGGACAGGGCCCTCAGTGGGGGTACAATGCCATAAAGTCCACCCCCCAAAGCAGCCATTTTTCCCAGGGGGAACTGATCTCTGTAGCCTGAAGAACAGCTGCAATTCTGGGGGATCCCCAGGTCCCACCTGGAGGCTGGCATCCCTACGCCAGAGCCATTACTGGTAAGACATTTGCATGGGGACTTGCAAATAAATCCTGCAATCAGTTGTCACCCTGACCACTTATTTCCCGGTGTCGGTACCAACTGTTTTTTATCTCTTGATTAGATAACTATTCATTCCACCCATCACCCAACCCTAATGGATAAGACGCTTGTCTCTCTGTTTACCCACTACTCAGAATTTCAACGGTTAGGGTCTCCCAAGTTGATTTCTTTTTTTTAAGAACACACCAGAGACTCTCTTGTCTCCTGCCAAAACCAAACAGCAGTCTTGTGGAGTGTTAAGAACTAGAGAGTTTTTATTCCAACGTAAAGTCTGGTGAAGAAGAGCCTGTTTTTGTCAGAAATGAGAGACAGAGGCTCCACAAAGAGGCAGGGAGGTAATACATACGAGCAGGGCTTTTTTCTCTGGAAAAAGAAGCGCCAGAACTCTCAAGGAGAAACAGTATCATGAACTTTTAAACTTTTTTCTTTTGAGAATTTTGTTTCCATGAAGAGGTTCCGGAACTCTGTTCCGCCACATTCCCCCAGGAAAAAAAAGCCCTGGGTAGGAGGAACCTAAACAGCATGATAAAAAGTAGAGACATCACCCTGCCAACAAAAGTCCGCATGGTCAAAGCAATGGTATTCCCAGTAGTCAAGTATGGCTGCGAGAGTTGGACTATAAGGAAGGCCGAGCGCCGAAGAATAGATTCTTTTGAACTATGGTGCTGGAGAAGACTCTTGAGAGTCCCTTGGACTGCAAGAAGATCGAATCAGTCAATCCTCAAAGAAATCAACCCTGACTGTTCCCTGGAAGGCCAGATAATGAAACTGAAGTTCAAATACTTTGGCCACCCAATGAGAAGGGAGCACTCCCTGGAGATGAAGACCCTGATGCTGGGAAAGATTGAAGGTCAAAGAAGACGGGGATGGCAAAGGAGGAGATGGTTAGACAGTGTCATAGATGCAACGAACATGAAATTGAGTGAATTTCAGAGGACAGCAGAAGACAGGAGGGCCGGGCGTGACCTGGTCCATGGGGTCGCGAAGAGTCGGACTCGACTGTGCGACTGAACAACAACAAGGAGGCTATCAGGGTCAAAACTGTTCTTCGACCCTGCCCTTGACAGTTCAGCTCACGTTAGAATAAATCCCGGTGTTCCTCAAGGTGCTGAAAGAGCCGCGTTCGAGCCCAGTAGCAGGTCAGAGAGACCAGCAGGATTTGAGGGGCGTCAGACAGAGCTCGAGTTCAGTGGCACTTTGAAGACCAACAAAGGTTTTATCCAAAGTGTAAGCCTTTGTGTGCAAAGCGCACGTCTTCAGACAAGACCCGAGAGTCAAGGCGCCCTTCGTCAGATGCAAGCCGGAATGGGGCTCTCTCATATCACAGAAGGTGGGAGGGAGGGTGTCGCAAAGAAAGGTAACATGCAGAGGTAGGATGCAAAACACAATCAGCTTGATTACAGCAGGGGAGACATCCGTTTCCCACCTCCCTCTAATCAAGCTAATTACGTTTTGCATTGTACCTCTGCATCCTGACTTCTTTCTTTTCAACCGCTCGCTCAGTAGGGGTGCCAGCCTCCTCCGGAATTACAGTTCAGACAACAGAGGTCAGTCCCCCTGCAGAAAAATGGATGCATTGGAGGGTGGACTCCAGC